AAACTTTAAAAAAAAAAAAAAAAAAAAAAAACTCCTCACATAATTGGAACCAAGTTTTCAACACTAAACACCTCAAAATGAGGATTTTTTAAAATCTGTTTTCCACTATTTATGCCTTTTTTTCCAAATAACATTTATTTGTTTAGACCAGGGGTGGCCAACCTTTGGCTCCAGAGCCACATGCAGCTCTTTAGAAGTTAATATGCGGCTCCTTGTATAGGCACCGACTCAGGGCTGGAGTTACAGGCACCAATTTTCCAATGTGCCGGGGGGTGCTCACTGCTCAACCCCTGGATCTGCCACAGGCCCTGCCCCTACACCACCCCTTTCTGCCCCCTCCCCTGAGCCTGCTCTGCCCTCGCTCCTCCCCCTCCGAGCCTCCTGCACACCAGAAAACAGCTGATCAGAAGGGGGAGGCGCTGACCAGCGGGACTGCCGGTGGGTGGGAGGCACTGGGAGTGGGGGCGGAGCTGAGCGGGGTGGCTGCTGACTTATTACTGTGGCTCTTTGGCAATGTACATTGGTAAATTCTGGCTCCTTCTCAGGCTCAGGTTGGCCACCCCTGGCTTAGACAAAGCTCAGTGTTCTGAATGGGTTGGAAACAACTTTCTTCTGCAGCATTTACATTAAAATTTTGTTTTTATTAACTTTTTGTTGATCATAGGTTTCTGAATTTTGGATTCAATAAAATCTAAATATTAGGCCCACTTTAATCTGCACATCCCTTTAAGCTTCCTGTCTGTATGATAATTAAGCTGCCTGTAGTTCTCCATCACTTGTGGTATGCTACTTGCTATACTTCGGTCACTGAAAATTATAACAAATTAAAATGTATTCACTACATCTATCACACAATTAAAGCAAACCCTAATCAAACAAATGCCATACCAATTAAGCATTTGTAGTGTTGCATGGGTAACTATGTAGTTTTCCAAAAGATGCATAGAAATTATTATTAAATGCTCAGGGCCAAACTTGTAAAGATATTTAGGGCACCTAAAGATGTAGCTAGGTATCCAATGGAATTGTCAGACAAGCCTAAGGCATCTACCTCCTCTGTCTAAATACCATTAAAAATTTGGCTCTTAGTTTTCATGTGGCTTTGAATGAGACTAGCGTTTGGGTTTCTGCTTGTTGCTTACCCAGGTTCTTGAGATTTACATTTTTTTTCTTTTTTTAAACAGATAAAATATTCATGTTTGCAGAGCATTTTATTGTGGTTAGTTACACCCAATTTTCAATTCAGAGAATGTTTGGTCATTTAACATGGGAAAAGCTGTAAGCGGTTACATTGCCTTTATCAGCTCCTTCCATATCCAGATGTAATATTTAACCTCAAATTTTATGATATAATCCAAAAGAAAGATATAGGGGGCGGAGGAGGAATTAAAAATGTTACTGAGTGGTTTTTTTTTTTTAAATTGAACTGTGGGGGAAAAAATGGGTTAGGGTTTCCAATAGTAACCAATAAAACCCAATCTACAGTAGATACATAAATACATTTCTGCTTTTAAAAGCTAAGTTGCACGAAGGAATAATGGATGGATGTCTTGGGGTTTTGTGCTTTGATTAATGTGGGCCTGATCCATCACTAATAAAAACAATGGAAAGACTCGTATTGACTTCAATAGGCTCTGAGCAGCTATAAATGCATTCCTACTAAATATTTAGTATCTTGACATAACTACTGTATTTAAGAAGTGTTCCAATCATAGATAAGACTAATATTTAGGAAATGCCAATAACAGGTATTTGCTAATGTCAATCTTTAGCTCTCAAATAATAGCTCAGTTTTTAAGTGATAATATGCAATTTAATATCCCTTTGGGGAATTCCACTCTGAGCCTTAATACAGACTGTTAAAATCTCATTTTGGATTAAACTAAAATGTATAAAAAATAGAAACATGCACATACAGACTGTATCTTTCTCAATCTTTTAAAGGAGCTCCTTAAAAATAAAAAGGTATACACTATAAAATTCTATTTTCAGTAAGATGCTGGCAGCACAGCTGGTCTGAACTTGCAAAATAATGAGTACTCTTCCACTCCCCTTGTTTCAGTGAGAGTTGAGTTAACTTGATATTTACCAGGGTTGAGCCCCAATTCTGAGCTATCTTCCTTGGAAGCAGATGATTTTGTATGTTCAGTCTGTGCATTATACATTTTCAGAGCTCAGCAAGGAACACAAACCCACATGTTAAGCCAGGGATGTATGCATACCCCCTAGACAGCACCTGCTAACCTAATCAAAGCTTTGATACAATACAGGAAGGAGGAACAGATGATTGCAAGGCATGTATGGAAATCTAGGTCAATAGTTGATTGTTTTCAGTGCCTTTCTGAGGTCAGAGTAAAAGTTTGCCAGGGTACTAGCCATAGCAGTATCTACTGCAGACTGAGGAAGCATCCCTCGCAGTTCAGTCTGGATGAAGCCCGTCAAAAGACTTTGGTCAGGACGATCCTTAAGCGGGACACAGAACCAGCCACAGGGGTGATTAAATCCACGGACAAAATTAGGTCTCACCTCTCCATAGTCTAGACTTATTCCTAATTTAAAATAAAAAGTTACAAAAGTCAGTAAAAGATTGGATCATGAAGCCATGTTTCTTGTCATATGTACACAGTTGCAGGGCCTAGTTCTGTTCTTGGATCCATGGGCACATCTCTCACTGAAATCCTATGGCAGAAGCCCTTTGAATAAATGTGCTCCACTATATAGTTAGCCAACTGACCCAAAAGAAAGCTTTTGTTTGCAGGGGATGGGGGCAGGCGGGGCAGGGGGGAGGAAAGAGAGTGGAGGAGAGATGTGAAATAAATAAAGGGTCTGAAAGAGCAAATGCAAGGTAAGAGTCTCTACTTATGAATATTACAAGTACTGATGGGCACACCTCAGAGAAGCTTGGATCAATAGCCAAGATTTCGATTGTAGTTTTAAAGCATGGAGGTTGCCCATTCTTCATTCAAATCATCTCTCACTGGACAAGCAATAACTTTACACCAGAGTTGACTCCCATTTATAAGCAAGTTCTATTTCCACTTCACCTGATTCACTGTGTAGCTTCGGGCATATCAGTTTCTCTGTCAATTTTCACATGCATAATATGGTGATACTTGCTTAATATGCAGGAATGTTGTGTGGCTTGGCTAATGTTTGTACAGGTCTGTCACATCTTACGCTGGGGTTACGTTCCGCAGTCAGTGCGTAAAGCGAAAATCACGTATAGTCAAAATTACATTGAGTGTAATGGAGGATGGAATCACCCGCACTACAGGTACAGTATTAAAATTGTTGTTTTTCTCTCTTTTATTTTTATTTATTTATTTTTTTGGCCGACCGCTTAAAGCTGAAATCATGCATGTTAAATGTGCATAAGATGCGACAGACCTGTATGTGGCTTTGAATGTGTAAAGTGCTATACAGGAGCACTCTAGTACATTTGCAACACTTTCAGTAGACTATCTTGTAAAGCCTTTAAAAGTTCCAGTTTAAAAGGGGTTCAGAACAGCGTGTACACTTAACTATATGGTAATCTGTTGCAAAATAAGAAAAAGTAGTGGTCAATGACATCTTACCACATGTTAGAAGCCCCTCTTCATACGGAGTTGTGTAAGAGAAGTCAACAAACTCTCTTGGGGAAATGATGTTCCACAGCTGGCCAGCAGTGGTGTAGCGCATTACACAGCAATTCTTCAGGAGGATAGCAAAACAATGAACCATGTATCACCAAAGAGAAGTCTTAATGTTTATATGAAGCTTGCATTTTGTTGAAATATCCCTTATATTTACTTATATCCCTCCTTCCCTACTAAGCTACCCATTTTACAGATGGCTACAGTAAGGTGCAGATTAAAGAGTCATCTTCAAAAGTGTCCAACATTAAGCATTAAATGCCTAAAACTTGGAAGTGTTGAGCAACTGCAAGTAAAGACAACAGAAGCTGAGTGTCCTTGGCTTAAGTTAAGCTCTAGATGTCTAAAATTGGACACCCAAAGATTTTGTGAATAAAACCCAGGAGTCCTTTTCACTAACTACTAGGCTGCTCTGCAAAGTGCTTCTGATTCACCAAGCTAGTAATAAAATAGAATGCAGTAATCTTCAACAACAAATTTCTAAAAAGGATACTAATCTTTTATGTATTTAACACAATAAGTAAAATAGCTCACTGTAAAGATCTAACTTAAAGCCAGGAAAATTGGATGTAAAAAGTGACCAATGTATAAACCAAAGGCTTTGAAGTGCTGTACTGAATGTCCTCAAAAACCAGGACAAGACTAACAGTCAGCACATAATGAACTTCAAACCTATCTTTTTTGGTATGTCCTGACCCACTGCAGTCACTATTCAGGTTCCAAGCACAAAACCCTGAGGGCATACTGGAGCCAGCCCACAGGTGAATTGGTAGTTTTGCTAATTTTTTTTTTTTTTTTAAAAAGCTACATCCCACAGGATAAAAGATATAGAGCTCTAAAGATTGCATTCAAAGTAAAAATAAGACGTTTTAATTCCCTCAGAATATGGATTTTTATTGGAAGATGCCAGAGCATAACCTACTAAATCTTACCCTTTGATCCTTAATTTTGGCAATGGTGGAATTCTGTACCAATTCAACAAGCTTCTGAAATGTATACTATATGCTCCTGTGAGATTACCCCATAAAATAAAGTGTATAGACATGTGCATGGATTAATTTCTCAGGCTATATCACAAAATATCATCGTAAGATGATGCAATTGCTATGATGCACTGTAGAATACATATTTACATCCACACAAATACATGTTCTATTTATAAGAATAAAAGACAAATTTTTACCTCTTCAAACTTTTCAACAATGTCCATTGTAGTCATTAAGCTGTCCCAATCTAGTCTATAAGGTCCAGGTCGAATATGATCTACTACTCTGTTGGTAATGTCTTCCACAACTCCTTGAGCTTTGTAGCTGTTTAAAATATGAAATCCTTTAAGCTTTCCACTTACTGTACACACGTTATCTGGAGATAAAACAATTCTATCCGACAAGTTCAGATATGGGAAAAGACGTATTCAACACCCAGTCCTTTCCCTTGCAATAACTGGTATTTTAAGAGAAAGGTTCTTAAGCTACATTCTGTATTTCTCAAATTGCAAACCTTCTTCTCAGTCCATGTGATATGACTCCTTAGCTTTTTAACATTTATTTTAAGGTCAATAAGAAGATGTACTCCCATTCATGCTGTTCCTTTTTGACACCTACAGTGAGAGGCCATTTTCTGCAATACATCACTACTGTATTTCTCACTGCATGGGTAAATGGAGAGGTAGAACAAAACTGACATCCTCCATCTCTGAAACAGCTTGTCAATTTGCTGTTCCTCTCCCATGAGGAGCAGGAGAGTCAGCTAGGGAAAAGAGGAGGGACAAGTAAAAAGGGGGGGCAGAGGTGAAGGGGAAGGCAAAGAAGAAACACAGAAAGGGAGAACAAAAGGGGTGAGGAGGAGTCAAATCTCCATAAAGCACAAATAAATGGTAATTCCAATACTAGTAAGTCAGTTTTTTCCACTGAGACTGAGCAACCAAAATGCGCCTTGGTAGCCAATTAGAATACCAAATAGATATCTTAGTTTAAACCACGACACATTCAAAAGTCATCTGAAACTGTTTTAGTGGGCTCATGGAAGCTTTCACCAAGTTATCAGATCCCATACCCGCCACATACACGCAACTCTTCCCAACCATAGGATGGCTTCTTAGCCCATTGGGGGTTCCATGGTACATGAGATTACCAGCATTATGAAAAGTGAGCTGTCACATGCAAGGGCCAACAAGTTTGGACATAGTGCTCTGACTTGCAGATGACTTTTCTAAGAACTCTAAGGATGAAATCTTGCCCCATTTGATGCCAATGGGAGTTTTACCATTGATATCAAAGGACCAAGAATTTCACTGAGTCTTCATTGACAGTTACATGTCTTGTTATAGACAATATACAAGATGCAGGCATTAAAATGTTAAACTCTAAGATAAGTATTATAGGGACTAACTCTATACTGACAAGGCGATAGACTGGATGCTCGAATGGGTTTTTCCACATCCCCCATTTCCAACTTCTGTTAACATCTTAAAGTCCCACAAACTTACTTATCTAGTATGAAGGTAAACTTACAGGTATCCACTGAATTCTTCTGATGGCTTCCGCCACACAGTTGCATCTTTCTGGAAAAGTGGAAGAATACCATATTTATTATTTATGTACACTTCTAAAGTGTGCGTCTGTTTTATATCTGGGTAATTCTACAGGTTTAGGCATGAAAACATATGAGCTATACAAAAATATTTTTACCAATAACATGCAAATGCACACTTTCAAATGAGCTGTTTTTCAGTATCAAGTGTTGGAATTCTGTCAGAAACAGAGTTATCCTAAAGTTAAGGCCCTGATCAAGCAAAGCACTGAAGCATATGCTTCACTTTTAAGCCTGTGAGTCAATGTGACTAACATGCTTCAGTGCTTTGCTTGATCAGGGACTAAAATAGGTTCAGCACCAGTCTGTATCCCCCACATTATTATTAAAACACAATCAGGTTTAGCCATGAAATTATTGCATTGAATACTTTGTGTGAAACTTGTTAGCAATGACGCCAGGAAAAAATAACAAAATGTACTACCATGTAGCAGAAAAATTGGAAAGCAGGCTGCTTTCAATTTTTTAAACATATGCTAAGTTCTATTTATACCATTGCATATACTTTTTTAAAAAAATAGTTTTGCTAAAATTGGACATAGTCACTAGGACCTTACTTTTTGCCATAAACAAGCTTTTTCAGCCTAGTGCCCTGGCTCATTATCAAGGGCACCTGGTTAGTAGGTCCTTACAGGGCATTAGCTTTTTTTCTTTATTAAAACAAAAACAGGAGGCATGATTTTTATTTAACATGTTTAAGGAATGACAACATTTAATACAGTTCTTCACATTTTTAAAGAGGCCAGGTTTATTACTTACCACCTTGACGACATCTAGCAGGAAACCATATGTAAGACACGTCAATGCAGCAATATCACACCATTTGTTTACAAATGCAAAGTTTGTTGCCAGACCCAGGAAAAAGATTGGAGTGTGTCTGAGCAAAAGGAACTTAAGCTGAGTCCCCACTGCATTACTAACTTGAGCTTCAGTAGCACTAAAGCTCCAACCCTCTCCCCTACACAGGGCCGGTGCAACCCATTAGACACTAGCATTCGGGGGGTGGCATTTCAGGATCTTCGGCCACCCCGGTCATCGTCGTCATTTAGGCAGAGGGAGCTGGGGCAGGGGGATGCGGGGAGGGCCGCCTGCAGCAAGTAAGGGGGGGGGGCATGCAGGGGAACACCCTGCTCCAGCTCACCTCTGCTCCGCCTCCTCCCCTGAGCACGCTGCCCCGCTCTGCTTCTCTCCCTCCCAGGCTTGCGGCGCCAAACAGCTGATTGGCGCCGCAAGCCTGGGAGGTGGGACAAGTGGAGCAGCGAAGGCGTGCTCGGGGAGGAGGCGGAGCAGAGGTGAGCTGGGGCGGGGAGCTGCCGCATGGCTCCCCGGGCCGGGGGGAGCTTCTGCGGGGGGGGGGCGCGCCTCAGGGCGCGGGGGGGAGCTGCCTTAGGGCAGCGAGGCGGGGGGGAGACAGAGACCTGCCACAGGGCTCGGGGAGGGGCGCAAGGTGGAAGTTTCGCTTAGGGCGTGAAACTTCGTTGCACCCGCCCTGCCCCCACAATGGCCAACTAGCTTGAGTTTAAAGCCCCACATGACTTAAGTTACAGATTTGTATGTGTGGAAGGGAGTTGGGTTGGGGGTAACAGTTCAGTGATACCTCGAGCTAACTATGCTGTGAAGACATACCCTTAAAGCTACAGGACATTAGTGTCTAAGGGCGGGTCTACACCACCCAAAGATACAAGTTGGCTGAACTTAAAATCAGTTAAGCCTAACAGGTTGAAAAATGTTTTTCCTGATCTGTGTGGACTAGGTTAAAGCATGTTACACATATCTGTGTTCTAGGTCTCAATCTTCAGATGCATGCAACTCAGCTGCTGGGCAGAACTGGGGTTGGAACTAACCACAACATAAAGCCTCAGAGGTGGATGAACACACTGTAAAGAACATATTTCAATCAGTATTGGGTACATAGAGACATACATTTCTTTAGATGTTTTTAAAAAAAGTGAGTCACTTATTCTGTAACACTGGGTTTTCTCTGAATAATCACCACTCCTATATTATACTGCATCTTCTGCTTCCAAAGAAACTCAAAATGACCTACATATTTTGGAAAGACTTTAGTGATCTCCATTCTGTGATAATCTCCTTCTAAAATCATAGAAACATAGGGCTGGAAGGGATCCTGAGAAGTCATCAAGTCCACCCTCACATGCTGTTGCAGGACCAAGTAAACCTAGACCATCCCTGACCAGTGTCTGTCCAATCTGTTCTTAAAAACCTCCAATGATAGGGCTTCCATAGTCTCCACTGAAACCCTATTCCAGAGCGCAAGTACCCTTTGTGACAGACCCAGACCAGTGGGGTACAGGAGTCTGGTAGAGAGCAAATATACTGGACACTGGATGAGTAGTTTTCTGTTCCCTGAGTGATCAGACCTATTGGGATCCAGGAAGTGCTACTAAGTCCACTGCTAAAGGATCCCCCCAGCCTAAGGGGGGGTCCACAGGACCTGGAGACCAAAAAATTACGGGGGACAACTAATAAAAGAACAGGGACAGGAGTGAGGTCAAAGGGTCAAACGAAGCAAACCAGACGGGGACACCGAGCAGAGAACCCCGGACAGCGCCCACTGCTCCTCGAAGGTGTCAAGGGAGCCAGTGGACGCAGCCCAGAGGATCTCTGCCCAGATACGTGAAAGAATGGAGGACCTGAAATACGCCCCACAGTCACAGGAAACTCCATCGGCCAACCTCCTCACTCTGGTTTTATAGATGGCCAGTTTCGCTAGGGCCAGAAGGAGGTTGACCAGGAGGTCCCGCGACTTTGTGGGGCGATGGATAGGGAGTGCATAAATAAAAAGGTGAGGAGAAAAGTGCAACAAAAACCTTAACAAAATATCCGTGAGGAGCTGGAATAGGGGCTTCAGCCTGGCGCACTCCAGGTAAACATGCGCCAGGGTCTCCCTCACGCCGCAAAAGGGGCAGGTGTCTGGGATAGGGGTAAACCGCGCCAAGTACACGCCCGTGCTCACAGCTCCGTGAAGGAGCCGCCAACTGATGTCCCCGGTGGGCTTCGGGATCAGAGCAGAATAAAGGCTGGCCCACCGGGGCTCCTCACCCTCTAGAGGTGGCAGAAGGTCCCGCCACTTCGTATCAGGGCGGGACGCGAGGGTGAGGACATGAAGAACATGGAGCACGAGTGTGTATAGATGTTTCCTTGGCGCGGTCCGGAACAGAACTGGCTGCAGTTGGTGCAGCCAGCTCATGGCGAATGGACGGGGAGGGGGCCGGTTGGGTCCACGGGGCAGGGGCCCGATGAAAAAGTCTGGAGGGCTCGGAGTGGAGGGTGGGCGGGGCGTGCCCTCTCGCAGGACCCGGTCGAGATAGTCCCGAGCAGCGGGCGGCAAAGTGGCCCTCACCTCCTGAAGTACGCGCCGGGGAGTACGAGGTCTGGAGAGCCCCATGCGCTGAGCGAGCGTCAGGGGATCCAGCCAGTCTCCCCGGTCGTAGTCCAGGAGGTCTCCGACTTTTGTGACTTCTGCTAGGACCAACCTCTGGCGCACCATGGGGGACTCCGCCACCTGCACACGAAGCTGGAGGTTGTATAGCAGGGGCTCCGCGAGGAGATCTGCCCCCACGGTGGCCGCCACGGACCTGGTCACTGAAAACAGTTTCCAGGTCCGGAGGAGGTCCTGGTAGAAGACCGGCAGCTCGGAGAGGCCTCGCGGAAGACCTCTCAGATGGAGACAAAGGAGCTGCCGGTCATATCGGAGCCCTCGGAAGCGGCGCAGGAAGGCGTGCGCCAATACGCTCCATGCTGGACTACCTGCACCATAAAGGAACCTCTGCAGGGCCTGGAGGCGGAAGACGTGGATCTGAGCCTGCAGACACTTCAGGCCCTGCCCTCCCTCCTCCAGGGGTAGATGGAGAACCCCCGCAGAGACCCAGTGCAGTCCTGACCAAAAGAACTCCAGAATCAACGTCCGGAGGGTGGTCAGGAAGCCCGGGGCCGAGACCATGGTGTTGAGCCGGTACCAGAGCATGGACAGGACTAGTTGATTGAGCACCAGTGCTCTCCCTGGAGGGGAGAGCCACGGGATTAGTCCTGTCCTTTTCTGGAGCCGCTCCGACACTCTGCCCTCTAAACCTAGCCAGTTCTCCGGCGGAGACGGATGCGTGGCAGAAAGGTAAACGCCGAGATAGAGCAGCGGACCCGCGCTCCCACGGACGGCCCGCAGACCGGGCGGG